AATCCAGTATTTTTAGTACAGTATGTCATATGGAGATATATAATTGAATCAGATTGCATGACTGTCACGTAGGAAAATCCATCGTTGCGATTGTATGTGATTCAAATCACTTGATCAGTAGTTTCTCCGTATTCAAAGTTACAGAAAACCTATTTGGTTGTCGACCTCGAAGGGATTCCTCGGGAATTTCACGAGAGAAACAGAGAGGAAGGAAGAAAGTAGAAGATGGAAGAATCTTCTTTTCATTGAAAAACTGCCTGGGAACGTAGACACTTTTCACCCCTTCTTTTCTTCCTTCCTTCCTTCGAAACCGCAGAGTTCTTTGAAAAATGCAAAACGTTATTAAAATTAACCGCTATATGACTTAAAATAATGACCGCCAGTGAAAATAAAAGGAGATAAGTCTGATAGGTTTAACACCAGAGAATACCAGAAACTTGTATATGCCTCTTAGATATAAAATTGTTATTTTATATCTTCCGTGAGATTTATGGAACGTATAGAACGCGTAGTCGCATTTCTCGGGCAAAAATGGCACGTCCCTAAAGGCAATATCGAAAAACCTATCTGCTGTCGCGTTAGCATATAAACTCGCACGTAACGCTGGTCGCAGATTATAATAAGTTTGCCATTTATTTGACCCACATCACTCGGTTTTTTTGTCTGGCATTTATCACATGCGCTATCAGAAATTAGATGGTATTGTGCGTCGTCTACAATATGCGGAGTAAGCTTGGTGTAAGAAATAAGAATAAAGTCGGTATTCATAGTCGGTTCCTATTTTAAGACCGTCTTAAGTAATGTTAAATTTTAATACTGGAAATTTAAAATGTCTATTACGATCTTCATTGCTTTAAATTTTAAGACGCGGTTTTCTGATTAGTCGTGATACCACAAGACTGAACTTAAGACGGTCTTGAATATAAAAACTGACTATGAATATCGGCTTAAGATATTGACCAATCATAGGGCCGGTCTCACCAATTCCGATTAACTTAATCGATCCGATTGTTACATTGGAACTGACCAATTGCATTTGTTGTTCAGCAGAATTGACCACTTTTCACATTCAACTGTGGTCGGTCAATTTCTTACTCTTACTTTCTTAAGCCTAGCGTAGTTTTAAGTGGTTGTTGCAAGAATTGACAAATCACAGTAAAATATTCTCCTCATATTCGACTGTGTGATTGGTCAATTCTTACAACCATAACTACTTACAACTGCGCTTACGCAATTGTAAAATGGGCTTTAAATCAAGCTTACTCCTAATTACTATATTATAGACGATGCACGTTAGAGGCACATCGTATACAGATTTATTGTTTAATGATTTTGTTTACGTCTGGATTGCGACAGGATCGCGATAGGGATACCCCCAGCTACCAACGAGGAATTGAAGCTGGAGAGCGCCACATCGTTCTCGAGATGCTACATGTACGACGTAAATTACACCGAGCTGCTCGAGCAAGGTGTCAGACAAGCCAATCTGTCGTGGCCGATAGTCCGATGTAAGCAAGGATGGACCTTCAACCACACGATGATACCGTACGCCTCGATCGCCACTGAGGTATCTAAAACACACCATTATCACTCGCCATAAATCACTATCGCCTGGCTAATTGATTAATAAATTTATCGACTGACGCGACTAGCAAGACGTCAACTGGTTTAGCACTCCGCATTTTTTATTCTTTATATTTTCTCGCCAAGCGCGCAGCTTTATTGTAATCTTTTTATACAAAGCGAAAAAGAAACCTGCATCGAAAATACCGTTCACATACCGGTTTTTTTTTGGTATTGCGTAACATCCGAGGTAAAAATCGATTACCATACCGATGACGTCGGCGAACAGTTTATTAGTATTTTTTATCAATATAAAGTATCGATATAAAGTATATCTTTGCTTGTACAACATGTTAATTGACGCTATTTGCTATCCAATGCAATTTAATTTTCTTAGTATTACAATTTTATAAGGCTAGAGATGAACTTGATACAAATTAATTATACAATAGAAATTCCTTCTCAAGTATTCATTCGCGACATATGTATATCCTTTACAGAAATTTAATATTGGGAGGCAACGATTAATTATTTACTTTGAATATTAAAAACATTGTTGTTCAGTACTTTTTAAAATTCTTAGTACACACGATTGGATTATTTGTGTTCTACACATTTATTTTCTCCGATATATTAGAAGCATCAAATAATTAGTTATGATATTTATATATAGGGTATCTGATAATTCTTGCATAGAGATAGAGCAGACTAAACTGAGTCGAAAATCATTTCCTCTACCATTTTACCATTTTCACAGTAGTTAACAAGATATTAATTAAATATCGTCAAATATTGGTATTCAATAATTTTTTATTCAAGTATTATCAACTTTACAGAAAAACAAGTGACAAAAGTTATCTATTTTCTTCTTATAGAGAATTTTCTGAGAATTTTTTAAGAATTTTTTAGTACTGCATTTTCTCATGTTGATAAAAATAGTTATTAATATAAAAAAAATGCAGTACTAAAAAGTTGATAAAAAAATTCTGAAAAAATTCTTAGAGCTCTATGAGAAGCAAATAAATAATTTTTGTCTCTTGCTGTTTTTCTGTAAACTTGATAGTATTCGAGAAAAAAATTATTAAAAATCAATATTTGATGATTTTTAGTAATTGATATCTTATTAATTATTACGAAAATTGCAAAATGGTAGAAAATTTTTCAGCTTACTTTAGTCCGCTCTATCACTATGCGAGAGATTTATCGTTACTTATCAAACACTATAATTTTTTAAAATATATACTCTTAAAGTACTATCTAAAGATGTTAAAGAGTATAAAGAATCACTTAATAATTTTTGTATATTTATTAAAAAGTGATAAAAATTAAGTTGAGACACAAATGATTTATTTTATGTAATAAAAGACCGAAAAAATTATCGATTTACTAACTCTCTAAATTCTTTGGAATCTCACTCTCAACAGTGAAAATCGAATCAGTTTTCATAAAAAGCGGCTCAATTTTTAATCTTTAAGATTGAGATTTCACTCTTCAAAGTAAAATTTACTCTAAAACTTTTAGACAGAAAAAGGTTAATACTCAAAATAAGTAATTTTTAGTAATAATTGGCCAATACAAAAAATTGAATTTTTATAATAATATTTTTGATGACAGTATTATTAATAACAGTAGGTAATCTCTCCGCGATTATAACAACATGTATCATTTCGCCAGCTCGAATGGGTTTGCGATAAGACTTTCCTCGGTTCCGCGGCTCAGTCAGCCTTCTTCGTTGGCAGCATTATCGGTGGCCTGATATTCGGCTACATAGCTGATCACTACGGCAGAATCCCAGCGTTAGTGTCTTGCAACGCAGTAGGTTTCTTCGCTTCCATCGCGACGGCCTTCTGCAATAGTTTTTGGTCCTTCTGCGTCGCAAGGCTGATTGTCGGTTCATCGTTCGACAATTGCTTCAACGTACTCTTCATTATCGGTACGTATCATCGCGATCGAATGAAAAATTATGAAAAACTTAAATGAATTTTCTGTCCAAGAGTCAAGCAGCTTATTAAGGAGATACGAATAGGTATTTTTATTACTATTGATCAATAGCTTTGATTAAAAATACTTTAAATTTCCGATTTGAATTTTGAAGTAGAATTTTCTACATATGGATGAAAATTATTATTGTGATACTTCAGTCATCATTATTGACGATAACATTGATTGATCGCAGTGATCGAGTATGTCGGTCCGAAATATCGAACTCTGGTGGCAAACATGTCCTTTGGGATTTACTTTGCGGCCGCCGCTAGTCTTTTGCCATGGATCGCATATTGGATCGCAGATTGGAGAATTTTAAGCGTTGTCACCGCATTCCCGATGATCGTCGCTTTCCTTGGCCCGTGGATTGTCCCAGAAAGTGCACGGTACTTGTCTCTTATTATCTTATATTGAATTTGTAATAAATTTGTAAAAAATAATAGACACTCTTACTAAAAAACAATAGACCAAAACAGGCCAATGAGAGTATAAATTCAGATCAAGGCGCAAAAAGATACAATTTTAAAGTAATTATAATTATAAGATTAAGAATTTATAATTACAAAATCACTGCATACAAATATCCGAACGTTTCGACTCACTTTGGAGTCATCTTCAGCGAACATAGATCGGGTAATGGTTCACATCCCTTGCAGAGTAATTAAATAGCCAGTCACTCGTGGATTGCAAGATCCAAAGTGGAATCCATTAAAGTAATTATCGAAATAACAACATCTATATATATGAGAAAATGAGAAAATACATAAGATCTATTTTTTAAAAGAAATTTGTAAGTAAGAGAGTGACTCGCCGCACGAGGGACATATCGACAAAAAAAAAAAAGAAAATATGAATAAAACACAGAACGTCTGCAATGAATTTGTAATATAAGTTATCTTCTAAGAAATAAAATTATTATTTATATGCTACAAAGTACATATATATGTATGTAGACGCTGATAGATACGTAACAGTTTCGATTTATTCTGTTTCTTAGGTGGTACATCATGAGCGGTAATATTGACAAGGCGATCGGGATGTTAAAGAAATTCGCGAAGGTCAATGGCAAGGAAGTCAAGCAGGAGGTGTTTGAGGCATTTGAAAAAAGTTGCAATAATCTAATCGAGAAGGATCAATCGCACAATCAGTACACGGTCCTACATCTCTTCAAATTGCCCCGACTGGCTCGCATCACTGTTATGCTTGTTATGTATTGGTGAGTGTCAGAGAGATTAGATTCGATTTATTTACCCTCGTTTGAAATGACTATTGATCGAACAATCGTTTTCAGGCTGTTAATCATTCTGGTGTTCGACGGACACGTTTGGAACATGAAGCTGTTGCACCCCGATGTGTTCACGTCGTTCTCCATAGCCGCGATGACCGAGCTTCCGGCGGCGATTTTGCTGGCACTTTTCCTTGATAGATGGGGTAGAAGATGGATGGGCTTTGCTTCTATGTTCATATGCGGCGTATTCTCTTTGATCGCCATTGGCACTCCCGTCGGTAAGTTACATTATCACTCACGAATCTCACAATTTACAGTTATAGTCTTATCATTATCAGGTTTATCCGTCGTCAGAACAATACAGGAAAATTGTTTTAGATTGCAAACAGATGTAAAAAATAAAACGAGAACACGCGAAAATATGAGATCTTTGATTTTGTCGGTCTGTGATCTGCGATCTAAGTTTCTTTGGATTGTAAATTAGCATGGTATCAATATTCTTCTTATTTTTCTTTAGGAATTTTGGCTGGCATCAGATTCATGTAGCGGAAGCCGGCCAATATTAAGTAGAGACGATTTTAAATCACAAATATAAAAGACATACGATAATAAATAAAATATTTTGATAAAGGGCCGAGAATAAAATTGTACAATTTTATAAAATGAACGAGGATTGAGGCGGAATATGACTGGTGAATGCGACCAGCAAATAGAGCTTGTAACGTGTTACATTTACATAATTCGCGGTGTTACAGGTACACTAACCGTCACCATGGCGATTTTGGCGCGCCTCGGTGTCAATATCGCCGCGAATATCGGTTTCCAATACGCAGCCGAGATGTTGCCGACCGTAGTGCGGGCGCAAGGTGTATCTCTAATTCACATTATTGGCTACATCGCTCACATCGTCGGACCTTATGTGATTTATCTGGTAAAGTATCACGAGAATCCGCGAGATCTTATTTGTACACGATACGGTAATTAATGAAATCCAGTGGCCAGGTCGATTAATTAAGTTAATGGTCATTATTTTTTTTTAGGCTGATGTTAACCAAAATTTACCATTGATAGTTCTTGGTCTCTTATCGTTTTTCGATGCGTTCTTAACGCTAGCGCTACCTGAAACCTTGGATCAAGATTTGCCCGAAACTTTGCAGGAGGGTAACGACTTTGGCATGGATCAAAGCTTTTGGTGGATTCCCTGCATATCCTCGTAAGTTATCCTCTCTCCCGTTTTCTCTCTCTTTCTCTCTTCTTAATTTTTATCTCTTTCGCATTGGATTTAGATAAAAAGAAATATCGAGGTCCTTCATATGTTTATCTCATAATAGTTTTCTTTTATCTCGTTACCTTCGAAATTGTTGCAGAACCCCGAAATTGAAGAAATCCTTGAGGAAGAAGAAGAAGAAGGAAGGTATGACGAACGCGGCTTTCCATCACGGCAGTATCCAAACTATCGACTGTACAAGATTATAACGACCGTTCGCATAATAATTTAACAAATTCTTTTTTGTTGTAAATATCGCGATCAAGTCGTGTGTGATTTTATGTGTTAAACATATGATACGATGGACACGTCAAGTGCGATAATGTTCAATGGTGGAGTGGAACACAAAAACCAAGTAAGAATGCGAGATACAATTGCATCCATGTATCCAATGAGGTGCACGCTTGGATGGATACGAATACGAACATGAATGCGCAACTTCAAAGTCGATGTGACTGTCCCGAGAGTGCTTTTTCAAATCGTTTCGTCGCGACACGACTTTGACTTTCGATTTGTCGTTCTTTTCTGGGATGCATCAGTGTGTACAAAGCTATTTCATTAAATGTATTGTAATTCTAGCGAGACTGAAGTGACGAGCGAGCTGACTTCCCCGTATCACGAGGATCGAGATCGGTGTAATATCAACGAATCCAATTTTTTACGTTATACAAAGTAAAATCTAATGTGCCAAATACCGTATTTTGTTTACTCGCGAGTAAACGTGAATATCACGTACATGTAGGTATTCATATACTCGTTTGCTACAAACTCAGCGGAATTAAAAATTACAAAGGGTCCATCCCTTTGCTCATTGTTCCTTGTCTTTCTGAAGAACAACGTCTCGACATCTTTGACCCACGGTACATACAAGACAACTGATTTTCCGTACTGAGATATAAATATGAAGGATTTGCTTTGTTATATTTTCGGAAGGATACAACGGACTACATAAATGAACAAATAATATGAATAAATAAAAGGAATGCCTTCGTTTTCTTGATGTATCATCAAGAGTTGTTGCGAAGTTGCTAATGGCGATAGTAAATGAATTAATTATGTATGTAAGTAGATTTTAGATAATTTATAATGTATATACGGCACGACGTTCATCGCATAGATACATATTTCTCATCTTTCACTGCCAAATATGGAAATTTCTTTGTAAAAGGATGTTAATACCTTTCACTCATTGACATTTAAAGATGATCAAGTAACAGTAAAATAAAAGGACGAGTTATTTTGACTTCTTGTAAAACTTTGTTATACTGCACTTTTTTTACTTTCAAAAATACACATTTACTTTCAAAAATAAATCTTACCAAAAAATGCTCCTCGATCGGAAGATCATTCCGACATTTTTTATCTTTGAATTTTATTAATTTTATTAATAAATTTTATTACTTGTACAAATCTTAATTACTTATATTATCACGTACCGCGTAACGCATATATTTTCTCGACGGTTATGCCGAGGTCTTATATAATAAAAATTAAAAAGACTATAATTCGGTTGAATGATAATATCGTTGTCGATTCGAACGCGGTCGGGTAAAGTCACAGCAGGGTAGCGTCCAGAAGCTTTGTTCCTTGCCGAAGTCCTCTCCCTGACGTAGAGTCTGCGGGAGATCACGACCGAGTGTTTCCGGTAGGAACAATATTAGGGCAGCGGCTGCAAATGACACGATACTGATGATCATCATCGGCAGCCCGTACCAAATCTTGGCCTGAAACAATTTCAATTAATTGACTAAATACCGAGCGAATAGAGCTTGTATTTTTGTCTTCAATGGAAGGTCAATATTTCTATCAATATTAATTTGACGATATATGTACGATTTAAACACAAATTAAATTGAAAGTAAATACGATGTGACATGCGGTAGGATATTTAATATTCCTGTCAAAGTATAAATTGAATCAATTTTTTTAATCATTTCATCTCCTACATTTTAATACAAATAATATAGCTATAAAAATTTATAATAGAATATGTTTTTAATATAATTCCATAATTCTATAATATGTAATAACAGTTTTCCCTCTAATAATACTATTAATTACGTGAATATGCATATAATGGAACAGTTACGTCAGAATTCTATAACATACTTTGTTCATAACTGAAGAATACGAAAGCTGACTTACACTATCCACCACATATGGCGCAATGGAATGGGCAATAATGCCAAAAATGTGGATCAATGCAACACCTTGCGTCCTAATGGGAGTCGGCAGCAGCTCGGCGGCGTACTGAAGGCCCACGTTGGCTGCCATATTCAGGCAAAATCGCGAGAGCACCGACATCGTCAGCTTCGCTACGACTGAACAATAAAACGCATGAGATGAGAGATTGTGGCGCGATTGCGGACCGCTTGATTTTATTTGAAAGCCCGTGTGTATGTGCTCACTCGACTGTAACAGCAGTCCGGCGAAGCTGAAAAGGCAAGTCATGGCCAGGGTGATAAATCCGCAGAATCGGCGACCCCAGCGGTCCAATAGCAGCGTCAGCAACAGCCCGGCCGGCAGCTCGGTCGAACAGGCGACGGAGAAGGACACAAACACCGAACTCGGGATCAGCTTGAGGGAGTATACGTGGCCATCGAAAGCTATCACCGTCAAGGACCTAGAAAGTACCGAAAGTACATCCGTAACTTCGTCGCCGTACGCGACGTACCTAATGCATTAAAGTGGAAAGTGGAATATAGCGTCTGTTCTTGAAGTAGCAGTGCAGTATAAATTTAGCGGATGAGATCTGATACTCCCCGTCAAACTTTGAAACTACACAAAAGAACGATTTTTCTGAAGCATCTAAGAATTTAGGTGGATACAGATTCGAAAGTAATTTTGTTGGATCATCAAAATAATCATGTGGAACTCAAGCTACTTGCTAAAATGTCAAAACTTTATACAGTATTATTAATCATGTGCTTGAGTTTTTTCTACATCATTATTTTAATGATCAAACAAATTATTTTTAAATCTATATCTAGCTAAATTTTTACTTCGGTAAAACTTTTCCATGTATTTCCGAAAAAAGGAACTGCGTTAAAATATATCTCCTCGCCAGAGATGGAGACACGATACTTTCAAAAATTAATATTCTGCGAAATCAAGAAAAATATATCAAATAAAGAACAAAGCTAAGATATTTTTTTGCAATAAAGTTATTTACAGGTTTTAAGATATTTATCAGCATCAGATTATTAAGATCTTTCTAAAATACCTATGAGAGAGCAATATTATTAAGTTGTCTGTCAATTTAATTTGTGATATTACTTCAGTTCTGTTAGAATTACGTTTCAAGACAGAAAATTAAATTCGTATAGTTTACAAGATTAGATATATGAATATATAAATTCACATCGAATTATTTAAGTATTAAAGAGCTAGCTTATTTCAAGCTAGCTTATTATATTTCCTATTTGTTGAGTATTCATATTATGGTAAAAAGATGTTTTATTTAATAAGATTTATAAAGAAGAAGGCAATGAAACGAAAAGAAGAAATGAAGTTGCATCTTACCAAAAGAGAATTAGTAGAATGGTATTCTTTGCTAGACGCGGTGACTTCAGAATATCGAAGATGGTCGCGCTTTCCGTCTGGGTATCAGTCGCGGTCAAGTTTCTCTGTAAATATGATAAGGTGGATGATGCACGATTTGTGTCGCAGACTCACGTTCCAGCTTTGCGTCTCATTATCAATCTTACTTACGACGAAGACCTCGAAGATGCACGCGTCAGGGCACTTCTTGTTGATCTTCGCTATCCGCCGTAGCTTCTGCAGCATTTTATCTATTCTACCGTTGGCGACGAACCATCTTAATAGCAAAACAGTGTTCTATATTTCAGCGGAAAGTTTGAAGAACGCAGAATGGATAACAATGACGAACTTATAACTGCATGAATTTCTAAGAGCGACATGAATCTTTAGAAATTGCAGCGCTCTGCGTTTAAGGATTGTAAATCTCATTTTGATAAAATTTGATTTTATATTAAAATATGTATAATTTGCAAAATTCATTGCGCTTTGATTACTGCGCCGCACTCGCGTTAGCCTTGTTTCCTTTATTCTCGTTTAAATATTGCATTCATTCGAATTCAATCGGAGAGATATGAAATCCTTTTCCGCAATGCTTTGATTACAAAGTTGTATGTAAATAATTACTATATATTTATAATGGAAGTTTAATTTGTGTGAGATTTAAAAGGTTGAGTGGAATAAACTGACCATCCGTATCATATTTATTTACCGAGCGCTTTCGGGAAGAATCCATGGCGTGATAAAGACGCTCATCATCGGGATTGCGCTAACATAGGCGAAGAATCTCCAGTTTGCGATATAGTACGCAATCCATGGCAGAACTGTGCTTCCAGCGGCGAAGTATATGCCGAATGCAGCATTAACGACAAGGGTTCGCCTCTTTACAGCCATATACTCGAGCACTGGCGAGATTTCAGGATTCGATTCATTAGCCAAAATAAGAAAAGTATCGGAATATTCAATTTAATAGATTAAAATAGCATGCGACCTCTTCTAATAGTCTTTCGGAATCAGCGTTTAAAAAATTATATGTTCCTTGTATCTGGAAAAGGAGCCATCACTGCCGAGAAATTAAAAATAAGAAAAAAAAGAAGAAGACATGCAATTAATAGCTTACGTAAAACAGCTAACGATGAAATTACGTATTAGATGAGTTGCGCGCCGTAATATTTGCGGCCATAAATATTTATAAAACAGATCTAACACACACATCTTTCATCTCAGGCAATTTTTTTGTTGTCTACACTTAATATCATTCATTATTACAATGTACAGACACGCGCGCACATTATTGCCCTAAAGACCCGTAATCCAGATTTATGTAAGACGTTTTGAAAAATACCGCATATTTTTGCATGTAATTTTGAAAATATCAGAACAGAATTCTCTTATTTAGGCATAATTTTTCTGATTAACTTCTACTTTAGATTTAATTTCATATAATTCGATGATAATGTAAAAAAATTGTGTTTTTCTACTAGCTATAATTAATCATTAAACTAATAGTATTGCAATGATAACTTTAATTGTAAACAAATTTTTTTAGTTATAGCTTAATCACGAAATTAATTAACGATAATTTTGTAGTAAATACAAAACGTCGAGCATCATTTATTTTTCTATAATGGTAATTGTTGTATAATGGTTTTAAAGTTATCATTGCAATACTATTAGTTTAATGATTAATCATTATTCACTACAAAATTATCAGTTTAGTGATTAAACTATAACTAGAAAAATTTTTTTTACATCATTATCAAATCGAGTCTAAACACGAGTTAATCAAAGAATGAAAAAGCGAGTCTTAGGATGGATTTAGACCTAGATAGAAAAGCGGAAAGCAGAAAAGCGGCAGTCAATTGAAGAACTCGCACTGGCAGTCGCTGGTTTCGGCTTTCTGTGCTACTTACTGCTAGCGCACGTTTTGATTGGCTGCTGCTTTTCTGTCAAGGTCTGAATCTACTCTTAACGTAAACAATACAGACAATTATTGTCGCGCGGCTGATTATTTCTTGTTAATCGCTTACCGATAATCAGTGGGATGTTGATGCAATTGTCGAAAGCCAGACCAGTTAGAAATCTACAGACAGCGAAGGACCAGAAAGTTTTCGCGCTCGCAGTTGCGATCGAAGCTAGGAGTCCGACGCCGTTGCAGAGCATTAAGGCAGGGATCCGGCCTCTATGATCGGCGACCCATCCGAAGAGCAGGCCACCGACGATGGAGCCGCAGAAGAAGATCGACTGTGCCGTCGATATGAGGTACTCTTGGTCACATACCCAATCTAGCTAATCACAAAGGGTCCAGAATCAGTGCGAAAAATGCAATGTGTATTATACCATGTTTCTACATTTACGGGAGTTACGCGAAACGTTTATTTTTATCTTATTTAGTAAACAACTAAAAATAACGTAACATTAATGACTGCGTTCGCAGCAGAGTAAGCAGTTTTACAACTGTTATAAAATTCTTTAATTAGTTTTATATATTTAGATAGTGAGAAACTGGGCAAAACTAATCATATTAAAAAATTGTATAACAGCTTGTAAAGCTGCTTTATCTGCGCCAACGCATCCAATATAATTTTACACTCAACAATGTATCTGTTACAATATGTATTATATTCCATTTAATATATTGCTAAGAGTGCAATTATAACGCATTGATGTTATATTACTTTTAATTAGTGTTTAATGAGTTTTTACTATCCCTTTGTCTCTCATCGGGTTTTATTGTTTTGCAGTAGATAATGTAGATTGAAATTACGCAGGAAATGCAACGTTTGATAGATTTCTGCGTTTATGAGAGTTACTTATAAGTTATGCAAAATTTATTTCTATCTTATTACATTTGTCTTTGTCTCTCGTCGATTATTCGCGTATTATCGTTCTGCAATGGATTACAATTGGAATTACAGGAAAGAACGTTCGTAATCTCAGTTAATCGCACAACAGTTTTACAAGAGTACTCGCGAATCTTGATTCTCTCTTCGTGTCTTCCACATATTTTATACATACAGTGACACACTCAAGGATACTTCACCTCAGCCGCTATGCTAGCATAAGGGATCTGCGTGAAATTGTATTCCCATTGGTTGCAATCCACGGTTTTGTTTGCCTTCCATTCGATCGAGCGATTGTCTTTCCTATGATTTATAAGAGCGAAAAAATCCAAATCCCTTCGATGGCATTGGTCGTAGTACGGATAATTCTGCGACCTTGGTACGCCAATCTCCACTCTGAAAATATTGATTTCTAATGTACGAAATATATTTTTGGAGATAAGAAGATAATGACATGCTTGCGAAGAGAAAGAAAAATTTTGAGGCCACTTTTAAAACAATTTTGTTCCATAATATCCAAAATTTTTTTTTGAATTATAGATTTATACATTATTTATAATAATTATCAACGCAGCATAATTACGTGTGGTAATAATTTTTGTGATTGAAATCTATAATTAAATTGTCACAAACGATGAAATGAACTGATGGTTAATAAAATCTTCGTTAACGAACGAAAGTCTAATGATTATTCGTAGTCAAAATATATATAAATTAAGGGTTTTATTATCGTCAACGCATTAATTCAAATGAAATTCGGTTGACGATAATAAAACGCTCAGTATTAAGATCACTTCTGTTCTAACACGACATTATAATTTATATGACCACAGACTTATATAAATAGATTGCTGACTCAATGCGATAAAAAGAGATAAATCTGATTCCAAGCTGTCCTTGTTTTAATTTCCATATGCGTTCTGTCTGTAAGTATCGTGTGAATTTATCTATATAATTTATATGTGAGTGAGAGAACTTAAATATGTCGCTGCCCAGTGTTGTCTTCAAAGATATAGGCAAAGTTGGCAGTCTACTTATAAAAGTCCGTAATTTTGACTGTGAATGATCACTAGATTTTCTTTGTTAACAAAGATTTTGTTGACCATCGATTACTAATCAATAGACAAATCATATAATTGAGAACAGGGACTCGTCAATGGAAAAGTCGTAAAAATCTGTATGTAAAAACCATTACATTTCTGCAACAATAGAAAGACGTTTCAAACACAAGAATCACCTCGTTTTCATCGTTTGTGACGATTTTATTATAGAATTCAATCACAAAACTCGTTATCACACGCAACCATGTTGCGGTGATAATTAATTGTTAGTATTATTTAAATTTGCTAAAGATTGACCTGTGAATTCCGAAATGTACTTTGTTTAACTTGATAATAAATTTTAATTGACATCTGAAATATTGTAGCTCGATTACTGACCGTTAGTCAATTTAATTTATTTATTGCTTTGAATAATAATTATGTTAGAAGTAAGATAAAATATATAATTTTGTTTTGAGATCTTAACGAATGCCATTGCTACGCAATTGAATTTTACCTTTCTTCCTGCGTGAGGTTTGAAGACATTAGTTCCTCTATCTTGCACCAATGTTCCTGCGGTACCAAAGTAAGGAAGAACTGCGAGAAATATAGGGTGGCGTATGCCATGCTGTAGGGAAGCAAGGCCAATAGAAGCAGCCATTGATATCTACCAAAGTCACCAACGTATGGCAAAATGTCATCGAAGGTCTCCAACTTTGATCTTGTCAACGTAATGCTTTCATTCGAATCTTCGGTATCTATGGAGTTCTTCACGCCGTTCGAGTTCTTCATTGTTCCTGAGGGATGCTAAGATTTGATACGCTAGGTTTACACTTGACGATCCAAGTCGAAGAAGGGAAAGAAAAAAAACGAACTCAATAAACTATACTAATAAAAGAAAAAAAATTGATTAATTGTTTGAAATATTTTAATCTCAAATTATACGGAGGCTCAATTTAAAAGATATATAATATAAGAAAAATATGGTAAGCTACTATAACTGTAATTATACAAAACTGAAGCTAGACTATGTATAACTTTTTTAACACGTAAGAAAATTGCAATATTTATTTTGCGATGAAAGAAACTCTTGCTAACATAGTTTAATGTTTGCCCTACAATATTATAAGTGATAAGTTGCTTTTAATAAATCGAGCAAATATTCCATAAAAGTAAGCGGATTCTATCAATTGCTTTTATTACAACCGACTTAGGGTACAAAGTCCATGCAATATATATCCTCGTAGAGATGTCAAACGACTTGAGTTGAAGCGATCTGAGCAGCTAGTGTTGTCCGAACGTGATGGGATCAAGTGGTTTGTTACACGCGTCTTGATCAAGATAATAATGAAGATCGAGCACGAGTTTGACGATCCGAGACGCAAGATTAACGATGCTTTTATACCTACTTAATGATAATGATAATGCAGATAATATTAGATATTACGTAGATAATTATATTAGACATTGTATCAAAGAAAATGTTGAAAAATACATAATAGTGTCAAAAATTTTCGGAACGTACCTGTTAAATTAAGAACTTTGCTATATTTTACTATATTTTTAAATTCTAAGTTCCTTGTTAATTGCAAATAACAGTAATATTTAAATGGTTTCTGGATGCTTAATGTTATTCTACTATTTATTCCCGCGCTGCAAGCAAATTATAAAGCTTATATTATGAAATCAAAACGACATTAATATAACTCGATATATTACGTACTTTATTTTTTCAAGAAGCTAATCCCTGAAATTTCTATTCGTGGACAGTGTCATTACTTTTTATTCTTGAGAATCGAAAACATCGGGTCCGTGACTCTTGGCGATTATGTGTATCTGCGGCAAGCGCACCAAAGAAATAGTGACGTTCAGAATCGACGAGATATCAAAAGTTATGGTTAAGGGTCAATGATAACGTAAATATTGGAGCGACCAACCAGTAGGCTGACATCGGCCTGATAATGTAACGAAAATAATTTTTTAAGAAGACTAGATCGTGGATAGATTGCTACATGTCGCTAATCAGCTGGTTTTTTAAATAGAATAGGCGATTAGATTATTAACCTAATCATCTACCCGTCGCCATTGATTAAAATTTGGTCAGCAAGATAATATATAAGTAATATATAATGTATAAGAATAATAATTATACAAGAATAAGGGTTTTAGGCTCGGTTGCATCAACGTTACTTTAATTATAAGCAAAGCTTAAAACTCTCTTTGTTCCTGTCTCTTTTAAAACGAGAGAGTTTTAAGTCTCGTTTAAAGTCAAAGTAACGTTGGTACAACCGGATCTTAGATCTATAAATCTAATATAATATTTTTCACGTGTAACCACGTATAAGCATCGATTTCGAAAATAATGCAGAACTCAACGCGCATGTAAATATTTGTAAAATACTTACATTGCAAATGTTTTCCAGCTGACTGTTCTAATTAAAGTTAAACGAGTTCATTAACATTTTTTTTTTTTGTAAAAGAATTTTGTGGCTGCAATTATAGCAATTATGGTTGCTCGTTAGCTACTTATGTTTTTTCAAAGTAAACGTTTTTTTTACTTAAAAAAAAAGTATCGTTATGACTACATCTATAAATGCGCAATGAACATCATGCATGTTAAACTATTCTCCACGAAGTTGGTTACTATATTCGATCGATAATTCTGTGTCTTAACATTGCTTAAACTTCATTTTAAATAAAATTGAATAAATAATAAGGGTGTTTCAGAAAATCCTAGCTTTTGTATTTACATTTTTTATGATAACTTTAATTGTAGTTATTGTAGATTTATAGCGCTCAAATTTTTACTTTTTTCCTTTCTCTCCTCCTTTTTCTACTATTTCTTATTGTTAAAGAAAGCTTAATATCTTTCAATATTACGCTTATCTGTGTCTCTTACTCATCTCTACTTATCTTTAAATCGAAATAATTTCTATGCTATTTGAACTCTTATAAATTTTCAAGTTTTAGTAAGTTGCGTATTCAAGAATTAATTGCACATAAATATCGTATTAAAACCGTTAATACTTACGCTTTTAATCTTTCGTTGCACTATTTATTCGTTTCTCATATAATTTTTATATATTTTTATTCAATTTTTAATTTATGTCGAATTTTATGATTTATTACACTTGAGGTCCCGCGTTGTAGAAGAAATAAACGTTGCGAGAAAGAATTGTCGATATACAAGTGCCACAAACCACTGAATTATTGCAAATTAACTATAAATGCTGATAATTTGCAATTATCAACAATTGTAAATGTAATGATAATTATAAATGTGAAGTGTCATTCCACTAAGTAATTTTTAATGTCTATAGTTACCACCTGCGGTGGTATTTTTACGATGTGAATGTGGTTAAACGACGACAGTAATGACGAGGCTTTCACGCGAAGCAGAACTCGCTGTCTGAAAAGGAAACCCGATTGAATACTGTTGATATAGGAGCTCGGCATGTGATATATTATACACAACGCTTATGTGCTTGTGTAGCGAGAATCACAAAGCAATAAAAGAGAGGACAACGACGAAAAGATCGATCGTCGCCGCGTGAGGATAAAAGAGAAAGACGCGCGAATTATGTCCATTTCTATACCAATGTAAATTAACTTAATCTCAGTTTAATATTTCATCAGTATGTCAATTATTTTTTCAAATTACGCGATTTAAAAAATCATGTGTACTGATTTGGAACAACATTACGCGATTTACTTGTCTTAATTATATGATTTTTGTTATGTAACTTTGAGACATGATTTTTTTTTCCGGTAGAGAACACCCCTGAAAACCTCGAAAATATTACAGAAAGCCAGTATTAACCCTCAGTACCCACACATTTCGAAAAAGTCCCCATCTACCCACATCTGGGTAACCCAGTGTTTTCTTTTGCTTGTATCTCAGATTATAGTGCATCGCGACTTTAACTAATTTTTTTTTAATCTATCGTTTGAAGACTGAAAAAAAAAAAAAATTTTTGAGTTAGAAAGCCTGAAATGTCGTAGCACAAAAGACATTTTTGCATAAGTGAAAAGGGATCGGAAAAAAACGTGAAAAAAACGAATTTTTTCAAAATCTCATCTTTTTGTCAAAAAAATAAGTGAAAAAAAATTTTATTAGTGACAAATCAACAGCTAATGAGTTGTACTTTAAGAAACTAAAAGCGTTTTTGTGATTTGTTATAAAAACAATCTTTTTTGGCAAAATAAAAATGAGTGATTTTTACTATACTTTTTTTTACTCTACTTATTCATCTATTGCTTCATTTTTTTACTTTATTTCTTTCGTCTCTCTCACTCGAGATCTTGTTCCTAACATGATTTCTGACGAAAAATACAAAAACATGAATAATCTAAAAAATATTTATACAGGGTGAATCAGGTATCTGAGAACATATGACTTTAAAACTAAAATTTGTATATTTCTTAGAAAACTTATTGTATTTTAATGAAATTTTTACGGCAAACTAAGTGACTCATAGGCTATGTAGTTAATCGATAAAATCGCCTTCAGCGGCAATAACAGCTTCAATTCTCTGCCGGAAATGTTTGCATGCCCGAATCAAATGATCCTCGTCCATATGCATCATTACTCTGTTAATAGCTGCTCTTAGGGAATCAAGCGTGTTATGTGGATGTTTATTGGTTTCTCGTTCAACAACGCCCCATACGTAGTAATCCAAAGGATTAAGATCCGGAGAGCTAGGTGGCCACATGTTTGGGGTTATGTGATCATGCAGTTTCTCGGACATCCAATCTTGCATCGTCATGGCTTTGTGTGAAGGAGCAGAATCCTATTGGAATACGTATGGCCTCTCACCACGCACGCTATCTATCTAGGGTTCCACAACTGCTTTCCAAAACCTCAATGTAGGCAGCAGCATTCACCCGAAGTCCTTGAGGAAAGAAGTGGAGTCGCATGACGTGTCATTGTTCACCATTCCCAAAACCATGACAGTTGCCGGAAACTTTGTGTGCATAACATGAGGAACATCTGAAGGATCCGCACATAGTCACCTATCATTTCGGTTTATTTTTTGATTTTGGTCAAAATTTTTTTTGTCAGAATAAAACCAGAGCATATCCGGGATTTCAGGGTGTTTTAACTTGTTTAAAAGTCGTTGTGCCCGGACGAATCGCTGTTCTCGAGTTTGTGCCGACATAAACTGACCTTTGCGCATCACGATAGGACTTGTACCGGATGTCTTCGTGGGCAATGCGACGGATTGTGCACTCAGAAACTTGAAGGTCTTTCGATATGGCCCTTATGGACTTCGAAGGGTCTTCATCAATAATGCCCTGGACTTGCTGCACAAAGTGTGATGCTCTAATTCTGTCTGAACGTGCCTCATGTTTTTTGCGCTCGACAACACTTTCTACATTGTCATCAACAGATGCTTCTAACTCTCAACGAACTTTGTGACCAAACGATCGGGCGACTTTCAAAAATTGGAAGATTTCAAGATCGCTGTGATTCGCGTGTATAGCGATGATTACAGCGTGTCTTTTCATTTTATGAGTCAATTTATTGTCCTCCATTTATGATCTGAAAAGAAAAAAAAAGAAAAAAAACTTGCTGCGAAAACTTGGCAGGCACATATGTGAGTGTCCTCAAATACCTGATGCATCCTATAGTTTTCTATTAAAGAAAATTCACCACTTTGTCCAAAATGCTCTATTTGGCACTAATGCACGAAGCGCACGAAGTCAGTCTCTTTCTGATGTTAAGAACACAATAAAATGGACTTAAATCATTTTTTATGATGTGCACTCATGATTAAAATCATAAATAATCCAATTAATTATTTCTACTTACACATTTCAACTTTGCAATAATCCGGATTTTCTGACATCGTACCCACAAGAGATTAAGATAACCCCGACACGCACTTTACATCGTACAATTATGTAGCTAATTGTGCATTAGAAGGTCGCCAAGCAAGGGAAAAAAAATTGTAGAGGTAATACATAGTTTGTTTCCCTTCAGCCTCAACACCACTGCTCAAAGCGTGTTTGAATGTTTGAACTATGAAAATCGGAAGGGAGGTGGAGAGGAATTATGCTAATCTTTTGTGAGTACTGAGGGTTAACAAAGTTAATCTACATTAGTAGAAGTGGACATCAGACAAATTCCTATGCTTCTCAAATTTCGTCATTAGTTAAGTTTTTGAAGAAAAGATATTTTCGAAATTCGAAGGGAAGAGCACGAAACACTATTTTCTCCAAATATTTGCGAATTTGATTAAAAATCCAGAGATTTTCATGTAGGCGATTCACGATCCAGTGTTCCACATCTGAATACGAAGAAATCACGTTATCTTGAATTTTGCGTAAGAAAGAATCTCGTTGGAAAACATTTCGTTGAAAAACGCCATCGGTCTGTATGAATATGAAGATGGAATGAAAATTTATCCTGTTGCGAAAGATTTGTTGCAAAATAATTTTGTGGCTGCAATTATATGATCGTTAGCTAGTTATGTTCTATCAAAATAAACATTATTTTTTATGTAAATAAAGTGTCGTCACGACTATATTTAGAAATACGTGCGCGATGAACATCATACGTGTTAAATATTCTTCACAAAGTTGATTACTAATATTCGATCGATGATTCTGATTTCGTGGTTTTGCCGTATGTATGTATAATATAATTCCTTACAAATGTAGCGTTTCATTACACGTCTCGTACAACAAACTCGAACTTTTTTCTTGTTAACGGGGCGGCATAAAAGATTCATTCGTAACAGGATTCGTTCAACACACTCGTCAGTGCATACATAGAAAACTTGCGTCCTCTCTGGGGTGAAATTGTATGTAAATTTGCTATTCGGGCACTCAGGAGAAAAATCGATACAGCCTTGGCAATATACACGCGAATGAATGTTTCACCCACGACAGCGATCAAAATTTGCTGTCAGTGATGAATCTGTATTTCCTAGAGCTCGAAGCTAATATCCTTGGAAAGTGATTCTTTAAAAAGATGAGTTAGTTTTCAAATTCACGTTCTGTTGAAAAAAATGATTCAACACTTGACGTTCCAAACAAAACATGAACATGTAAAGTATATATTACAAAGGAATAACTTTTCCCTTAATTGAAGGAATTAAGGCTCCTGAGTAGCCATCACAATCATATTGAATCGTAACGTCAGAAGCGAGAAATGACACATTAACTTTTATTACGTACCATTTATAAATAAATACAATTCAAATAAAACAAAATGAAGAGATCGCTTTAAAACATTTGTAAAAATGGACAAAAACCATACTTATCCTCCCTGACAGTCAATAAATATTCGTAAAAAGTGATAAAAGGCACGTGTAAGTGAAAATAAGTTATGCGTGCGCATTGAAAAAGCACTTATGTCTTTTATCACTTTTTACGAATATTTACTGACTGTCAGGGAAGATAAGCCCTTAAAATATAATAGAAATACAATAACTCTTTATTATATTCTTTTGCAATAAATAAAAACAGGCGAATCACTTGTGTGTCAACAAAATTATTATTTAACTAAATTAAAATTCTTTATTTAATTAAATTAACTAACATGGATTTAAAAAAAAAGAGAAAAAATAAAAAATTGTTGAAGGAGCTACAGAATCGATGTACCTTTTGTTATTTCTATATTTTCATTGACTTACCAGTAAATCTTCCATTGTTGCTTACATTACAACTTTTTTACACAGCAATGTTAAATTA